TAGCTCTCTCACACAGAGGACCTATACACGTCATCGTTTACCCAGAATGCTTTGCATGTAAATTAAATGGCTCCGTCCGTGTTAAAATATATATTTTTAAAAACTAACTAAACTAAACAGCCTACAGTATTTTTACAGTCTTTGTTTTACAGTTAAAATAAATGTTTATCAAATAAAGTCTAGAGTTACAAGTAATCGTGGATCCCTTTAAGGAACACTGCAATAAAAAACGAATAAGAGTTTTATGAAGGGCTACAGCATGAAAGCAAAACTACTTCAAATGTAAAATGTGATTAAACACAAGTTTATACAAAACAAAATGTAGGACAGCCAAGCTACAAGGGTTAAATGCCAAAACGACAGCAGGTGATGGAAGAAAAAAATACAAATAAAAATAAAACACCCACACACATGCACAGTGTGTGAAAGAAGACGAGTACCCGAAACTGTTGCTGCATATGGTAGGAACTTTGGAGACATCTGAGAACGTGAAATCGGGAATGGGGTCCATGAGCTGGAAAGAAGCGTGGTATACATGGGAGGTATGAGGGGCGCCACCACCAGCAACGGAGCTGGGTAAGCAGGAGGACGAAGAGGACAAAAACGGCATAAATGGAGGGTTTGGGGTGGAAGTACAGATGATTGATGGGTGCGAAACAGCTGAGGAAAGAGTCAGCAGAGGAAGACATTCGAGCTGCCCAAATGAATGGCTGCGTGACTGTCTGAATCTAGGCCTAGGATTGGATGAATGAGGGGTTCCCTCTCCATGCTGCCCTGCCAGCAGGGAACTCTCTACCAACCTCTGGGAGCCCAAGGCCAGCTGGGGATCAATGTGGCGTTGACGTAGAGACATCATACTGGGAGCTGTTGGCACAAAATGACAATATTATTAATAAACACTTATAAAATTCAATCTAGTAGGGGAGGCTACAGACATTTATTCAGACACTGGAATTCGTTTATCTGGTTTGCAAAACACCACTTAACCCTTTTTATCATAAATGTGTTCTTATTGTATTACACCATAATAACATTAGCATTAATATCTTCTAAAATATAAAAGTATGCAAGATAAAACAACTGAGACAAAAAAGCAGGGATGTAGTGGGGAATGGGTTTTTTTTATCGAGGAAATATGTGTGGTGAACAAACTGAGTGAAGATCAGGCAAGTTTCTAGAAAAACACAGTTTCATCCAGCTGTGACCATCTTACTGCTAGGTGTGAAGTATTTTAATTCTACAGGGTTTTGGCCAAAGGGAGAGGATGAGGACTGAACTGGGGCATGAATAAATCGCCAACCAGAGTATTTCCACATGGGCTGACAGTCTGAAGTGATGGACCACAGGTCACTGGCTCGCCGCTCCAGCTGTAGGGAACCATCTGAAGTTAGGCCAGCGAGGCAGTGTTGGAGCCAAACGGCACAAAGGTGGTGAAGGAAGAGAGGGGGAGTGAAACGAGGGAATAATTAATGGCGATTTAAAAAAAGGCTTACTCGCTGTTCAAGCTGGGAATGGATTATAAAATGCAACTTCCAGTTCCAGTTAGTTAAGAGCTCATGGTTCAGGTTTTGTCACAGTATTAGGTCAAATATAAAATACTTGATGAAACAGGACTACAAAACATAATAGGCTTTCTTGAAATAAATGCAAATAAAATGTATTTACCCACTAACTCAGCAATGAGAAAAAAAAATTGAGTTTGAGGACTAGGCTAATTTTTGTGCATCACTGTTGTTCATATTTAATCCATATGCTGTCGGACAAGATTTGACAGCATTTGACAGTTTTTCTCCCCTTTCAAATCTTAGTCGAAAGCTGATTCAACTCAGCAGAAAATATCAGGACACAATCACTACAAACAGGTCTACGGAAAAAGCATGTTTTCAATATAAAGTGTATTTTTTCTAAGAAAATTGTTTTCCAAAATTAAAGTTACAAAAGTCTTCAGTCTCAGTAACTGACAGACATTTGTGTAAACAAACACTTATCCAAAATAAAAACAATTAATAGATGGCTGTAATTGCAAGAAAAAAAAAGAAACAAAAAATCTCAATGTTATTTTACATTTAAACAGCTCCTATTAACATTCACTAAATGTAATCAAACCAATATCATTTAAAGAAATAACATTTTTGAACTCACAATTTTTATCACCAGGAATGACAAATTCAAGTGAATGCAGAAAAAAATGTCCCCCATTCTCATGTGGGTTTATTTATTTATTTTTATTTCCCCAAGAGGGTCTTTGCTGATTTGCTGGAGATTCGTTTGTTAGTCCCCACTAAATCATTCGACGAACCCTTACATTGAAAAATTCCAGACACAAGGCCTTCATCCAAGTCGTCCGTGTCGTCAGACATGACGAAGTGCTGAGGTGTGGCTCTGCCACCCATGAAGCTGGAGTCAACGTTGAGTGCTGAGGCCAGCGAGGGAAGACCTGGGTTGGTGACGATGGTAAAACCGGTGAGCACCTCGATCTGTTGCCAGCGATGCAGCCTCTCTCTCAAAGCGGCAGTCACCTCGCCAAGGGCTTGTCTAGAAAACGCAAGTGTAGATAAAATGTGAAGGCAAAAAGATTGCATTTTAATGATAATGTTCTTTTCTCCAGGTTAACCTCTATAACATTTATAAAACAATGTTTGCATCACTTGTGTCAGTTCAGTATGACTTACTTTGCAGCTAATATTTTGTGATCCACATCATCCAGAGAAGAGCTGTGAGCCACATGGAAAGTACCGAAGAGAGTGTTCCTCTTTTTCTTTATCTTCTCTGCCTGAGAAAACAAGTGATCAAACTTTTATTTCTCTGATGAATGTGTTTTGTGCAGAGGAAAAAGCAGCAAAAAAAAGAAAAAGAAAAGAGAATTTTCACAAAAAAGGCAAGACAACTTTTAAATAGCCCATTTCATTCACATTGTAACTTGTTAGCTACATGATACAAGCAAAAAAGGAAAATTAAAAACAAAAGTTCAAAAACAAAACCTTTTAAAATGAAAATAACAAGAGATAATTAAAAAACATTTAAAATCATCTCAATCATTAGAATAAGAAAAGAAGGAAATGTTTTAATATTCGATCAAGCTTTTTTCAGTATAGTTTTTCTTAATAAATTATTCAAAGTTCTCAGTACACAGCACACATTTGGTGTCAAAGATCAAAGATTAGACTAAATTTATTCCTTTATAAAATAATAATGTCAAAAGCTTTTTTTAATTGATTCAGACATTTTATTGTAGTTTTTCTAAACTAAACATTATGGTTAAAAATTTTCCAATTTTAAAGCACTTTTAAGTTCAACCCATGCATCAACAGAAAGGCTGGAGGCAAATATCAAGTTTCTAAAAAAAACTATCAGGTTACAGTCTCCAATCAGTTTGTTCAGTTTAAACCATTGCTTTTATATCTGACTCCATAGAGCTACATTAATGTAACGTAAATGCTTATATTCCCATAAATATTACTATTCTCTTCTAAATAAAAATTCAGCTAAATGTAAAAGACATGTCAATCTCCAAACTTGTTTCTGTGGATGTTCAAACAAATACACAACTACATTATTTGAGCATTTCCTGTTTAGTTCTGCCATGCCTACCCCTTCTTTTGCCATCAGTAGTTGTCGTTCAGCATTTTGCTTCTTGATGTTGTAGTACTGCACCTCCACCTCATGGGTGAGCTGCAGCCATTTCTGGAGCGACTCTGGTGGGGACCAGCTGCTCCGTGACTCCAGCTCCTTCTCTGCTTTCTTCAGCGCCATGCGGACCTTCAGCAAGTTTTGAAAACACAAGGTGAGAAATTTAAAATAAATGCAGCACATTCATGAGCATGCAACAAGATAAAAATATATATTCGACATTTTTTGTTTCTAAACTTTCTGTGAATGCTGGTAATAAACATGCAAAACTACAAACGCCAAAGTCATTGCCTACTCTAATTGACAACTTTGTTATATTACAAACAGCATATTTATTTTTGTATTTAAGTTGCAATAATAGAAAGGTAGAACAGCCAAGGCTTTCTTGCACTTTTTTCCATTACAATGTAACCTTTTCTTCCTTTTCCTTCTTTTTTCCCCTTTCTTTCTTCTTCTTTCTTGTCTGTCTATAAAAAAAGCCACTGATGATGAAGAAGCTAAGATACTAATATTCAGATATTCAGTTCTGCTTTCTACTGAAGTGGCAAAATAAAATAAAATAAAATAAAATAAATAGCATATTTAAAAAAAAATCTCAAAGTTTTCTTTTAATTTTTAATACTTTTTTAAGAAAGTCAAAAATATTTATTTTATTTATACAGCCTGTTTTAAAAAAAAGTGTTATAAAATAAACATCTACATCTCAAAACAGTAAATCATTTGTGTGCAAAAGTCAAATACAGTTAACACTACATTTTTAGTAAAGATACTAAAATGAGACCATAGGAGTTTAGATAAAGTAATTAATGTCAACAGGTAATCTCAAAGAACTGTATGGTTTTAAGCTACCAATGTGTTTCTGAACAAAATCACCCAAACAATGATACAAATAGTACTTTCAAAGTTTATAAAGCCAACTTGTCTTTATGTCACTGATGGGATTGTACCTGTTCTAGCTCTTCTTCTGCATACTTCTGGCGACTCAGTTCATTCTCCGTCCCTTCACGTAGTTCTCTCAGTCGCTGGGCCTCTTGCTTTGCTGTGTTGATCTCATCCCTCAGCTTCTGCTCCAGATTCACCTTCTCCACTTCGACTGAGCGATGCTCCTCCTGGGCAATCTGCAGTCTGGAAACAGGGTCAGGGACAAATGGGAAACGATTAGGTTTCACTTCATTTGTCTTAGAGGCAAGCCTTTAGATGGTGCTTTCTAAGACTAAAAAAGAACAATCTAGTGTAAGTTTCATCTTAGCAAGAATTATGTGTCACTTTTGAGGGAAATGTATGTACTGAATCAACTGCGCCATCATTGGAAACAATGGTTAACATATAAAGCAAAGGGCCATGGTCAGCTGCTAGGCAGCTCACAATAAGCTGACATCAGAGGGAGTAGAGCCAAGAATGGCAACAGCTGCCAGTGAGTAACTTTAGAACAGCACAGTGTGATTCCTAATTTTCCTGTAGTGTTCAAAGCATGTGTTGGTTTCTAAGTGGTTTTTTTCCACCTTTAAAAAGGAGGAACTCGCCACCAGTAGAATAATTACATGGACTAGAACACCAATTGCTTAACTTAATGTAAACTGTAAAAAAATGGGATTGAATTAAACACTCAAATTGTTGTTAGGGCTTTAGAAAAAAAATCAGAATTTGGCTTTTAAGTTCGTATGGCAATGTCATATCGTAGTCAATAAGGGGTGGCACTCTCTAATACAGAACAAAAAAGCAGAAGTAGAAAAAAGGTGCAGACAAATAAAAGCTGAACCAGAATATTAGCTTTGGAAAATGTAGCTAGTTGGCTGCCCTGCTAATGCTTGCAACTCTGACCTTAAGCACATTTGAGCTAAGAATTGAAAACATTGACAGTTTCCAAAAAGAAATTCTCAAATGTATAACATATCCTAAACTGTGGTGCTAACAGGGAAAACACTGTTTTTAATATCTTAACAATAAAAAGTAGCTATTATGTAAGTGTCTATATAGTTAAACTTGACCTAATCTTTCACAAGTCCACATACCAACTATTTTAGGCCTGTTACACAGTTAATGCTGTCATCCTTGTCCAAAATCCTTGTCTGTCTGCACACCACACATATCCACATCCTAATGTAGATGAACTACAACTAAGACCAACATGTTAAGCAGATAAACTTATCACTGTCTCCCAGTAGTGAGACAGTGTTGGGCACACAGGAAATCCTTCTTTTGTCAAACTTCCTCTTGCTGTCTGCTAACACAGAAGCCATGTTTGAGCTGGGCTACTTGATACCACCACAGGATCTGCTTAAAGGTATGGAAAGAGAGCAGCTGGCAGTAGGGATCAGGAAGAAAGCCTCAGTCAGACACAGAGGACATACCTCGTTTCTCTCTGCTAGAAAAGCACGTACAGCGTGAGTCAAAAGACGCAGGACACCCTTTTATTTCAGAAAGAAAAGGGACAATGACATATCTGAATATCCCAGTAAGTAATGGGTGAGGGACCCTAGCTTTTAGGCTATGACCAGAACATGGATGTCATCTTGAAAGCCACAATTTCAGATGAAGGGCAAGTTTTTCCAACGATAGGCCTCCTTACCCATGATTTGCTGGGGTATCCAGATATGTCATTTTCCCTTATGTTTCTAAAATAAAAGAGTGTACTGAGACTTTTGGCCCACCCCGTTCTGCTACTGATACAAGTTTCCTTTTTCTAATTATTGATCTGAAACTAAATATTTTGTTTCTTATGACTAAAACACAGCTCAAATAGAGACAGATTATTTATTAAAATTGTACATTTGTACTAAATGATCTGCATAATAGACAATTAATCTCTATATTTCATTCATTTGATGGAATCTGAATTGTTTGGAAATTGCCTATAATCTTAAATTTTAAGGGTAGCATCAATTGTTTTTTAATAGATATTTGCTAAGTCATTCCTACTTTTTATTTGGTTGACACAATTTGAACAGTCCAGACTAGCAAAATACTATGTTTTGCAATTATGAAGATGGTCGTCTTCCTGATAATAGTTAGTGTACTTTATTAAAAACATGTGACTGCTATTCACTCTCTTAAATAGCAGTCACATTTAAGTCAGATTTAAGAAAGATCAAACTGACTAGAACAAAATACTTTCATGAATTAATATTTAGCTGTATGAATGGTGAAAATACTCACTTATGTTGTAGGTCATGCAAACTCTGCTCAGCTCTCTGCAGGCCTTCAAGGTCTTTCATCATCTTCTTCATGTGGTCCTTCGAGTAGCGATTCTGGATGTAGGCAAACCAGCAGCCTCCCATCCCTATGACTATGGATACCACCAGCATGAAGTCCTTCAAATGGTTATGTCTATTCACTAACAAACAAAAAAAAAGAAAAAGTTGCATTTAAGTTAGATTAAAAAGCTTATAGATGAGATTCATTTTATTCAACGATAACTGTGAATGTTGTCAAAGAGAAAGGAAGTGATGTAAAGTTTTAGCAAAGCCTGGTCATAATGAAAGTGCTGTGGCTTGACAGAAATGGCATTTAATGGCACAAGTTCAGGGTTTGGTGAGATGGGGTTAAATGCTAAAGATCATGTTAAAGGCTCAACATAGGATATATATATATAT